TCAATTCTGGGAAATTCAGAAATGATATTAGAAAAGCTTAGATTTATCACAGCCTTTTCAACTCCTGTTTGATACTTTGCCCACAATGATTGTTTATAATCCTCCTCCTCCTTCCAGAAGGATGATCAGAAAAAGACCTTAATACTAAAAGGCTCCAGCAAGATGTCAACGGCATTGACTCTCATTGCATCTTGTGGCCATCTCTCTCCATCTTGTTTTCTTTTCCTCTGCACACTGTGGCTATTAGAAAAAAACTCAAAACAGTAATTTAGTTTTAGAAAACAAAATTGATGGTGGTTCAATGCACCAAAACTGGATCTTACTGCTACTTAATGCCCAGGCTTCTATTGTACATTAAATGATGCAAATCATCTACAGTTTCCACCTCAAAAAAAAGAGATGTTAAGTTTCTAAAGAGCTATAGAATGATGTAAAAATCTATATCGGAAGCCAGGCTCTCCTTTTTTTAGTTTTGTTTGCACTGTGCTTATGCTTTTAAAAGAAAAAAGAAAATGTATTGAAGGTCAGATGGGCTGGAAGAAAGGCTAGAGAACTTGTGCCTCCTCTTCTGTGTGACCCCTCAAGTGCTGCATCTCTTGCCACAAGCTCACAGGGGCAGGGTGAAAGCTGGGAGATGGGAGAAAGGCACAGAGGTTTGCACATGGATCATCCCTGTCTCTTAGGCTGTCCTTTGCTCCTTCTTCCTAGACCATGTGCAATTACAGCTCTGGTGTTTGGTACAGGCTCTTCCCTGGCCAAGGTCCATCTCAGCACCCAGAACATCTCAAGGTCCCTGATTAAAGAGCTATTACAGCTATCCCTCCTCCTCAACTCGCTCATCTTTAAGAAAAGCTGTCCTCAGACAGCTCTTTAAAAAAGGAGATATTTTCTTCATAATTGGCTCATCAAAAGCCCAATACTTGTTGCCCAGATCATTCATTCTTTGAACTTGTGCTTCAATGAGATTTTTGATAGGCAATTTATCTAAAATACCCTGAAATATCCTTAACTATTTCAAGTGGAAACAGTGTGTCCCACATTGAGTCAGATTTTGTATTCCATGTCAGAAACATGTGACAGGTGTTGTGCCCTGCTAAGAATGATGATAAGGCTGACAGCATGGAGGATCCACCATGGACAGTGGATTCCTTTGTTTATTACTACTTTTGAGCCTTTATTGGAAACATGCTCAGTGACAGGAGATTCTGAGGTTGTTCACTACCCACAGCCTCCAAAAGGGATCCTGTTACTGAAACAATAGAGTCAGTATTAGGAGCTGCCCACCAGGGTCCATTCTCCCTTAACAGTTGCCAGCTCTAGAGATAAAAAATAGAATCATGTGACAGATACTGCAGTGAACTCAGGTAAATCAGTTTTGTGCCTCTGCTGTCTCTTGGAATAGAGGTAACGCTGAATGATAGGAAACATTCATGTATTGGTGAAGGGAAAAATAAGAATATTGATGCCTGTAAAAAATGACTTGGAAGTGGCAGCAACATTATAAACAGTATTTCAACATGATGTGAATTACAAGCACTTGATACAGAGGGGATAATATATTGATTTTCCTCATTCTACACTATGCATGTCACTAAGATCAATGGAAGTCACAAACCTATATCAAGGAGATTATAATATCTGGAATTATTTATAGAATGGCTGCTTCAGGTACACACCAATTGCAGCATGATAATGGCCAGACTTATGACTGAGGACAAAGCCATTTATTACATACTGTAAATGATAAAGTGTGCATTCCCATCATTGCTTCATTCACCACATTTTTCATAAGTGAAAGGAAGAGCTAATAGAAGGATTCTTGTACAGCCTTTCTTTATAAAGAAGCAATAAACATTGTAGAGTTTATTACTAAAAGACAACGATTCCACTTACAAACAAAGTCATTAAAAAAGAGCTACAGGCAGTATTTTCCAAAACAGGGTTATGCAATGTACGCCAAAGCAAATATGCTAAAACTTTGGGAATCACTTCTGGATTGCTCAAAATTCTGGGGACCCCAAAGAAGCTGAAAAGCAGCAGCACACAGAAGTCCAGCATCTCCAAGCTTCTGGTAGCCAGAAAGCATGAACCTTAATAAGCACATGCTTCCCTTTTCCAACAGTCAGCAAAGCTGTGTCAGCACTGGCAGGAAAAGAAAAAGCCTTACAGCTACACAGGCACCTTTATAATTTTCATATCTCAAAATGATGGCATTTCCAATAAAGGCTGCTTTTGAATCACCATTTACTTCTACAGCTCACTTAGTTTCACAGTAGTTTCTGTCTCCTACTGTTAACTCTTAAAAGAAGCCTTTCAAAGATCAATCCAGTCTGTTAGGATTCTGGATGTTAAAATTGAATTTTTCATGTCTACTTCTTCTTTTGAAAGGCTTAAAAGCAATTTGTGGCAATCAGCACAAAAGGATTTGATTGACAAAGTTTAACAAAGTGATCTAGAGAAGATTCATTTGGGAAAAAACTGCTAAAATTGCAAATTAAACGGCAAATAGTTTTTCTCTGTCTGCCCTTGAAACAAAATAGGTTCTTTTAGATGTGAAAATCATTCTAAAAGCTTCTAAAAGTACCTAATGAAAATTTGAGAAATGCATAGCATTATCTTTTAGATCTGCAAAAGTAATCAAGTAAAAAGAAACGACAAAAGGACAAGTGCCACGACGGCTGCCAAACAAGTCTGTTGACCTCATTCACACAAACCTCAAGAACACAGTTGCCAAACTTCCCTCCAAGTGAAATACAGCATGTTTAGCTGAAACATCGGTGGAAATCAAGGTTTTTTCCTCCTCTGCTTTGGCTATCTGCTCTTTCCTTCCCAGTTTGCTGTCTCAAAATGCCTTTCTCTGCAATGCTTCTCTCTCCATCTGCCACAGGGGCAGTGCCCAGCTGGAGGGTCCCTGCCAGGCCACCCAGGCAGCAGTGCTGTGTCCCTTCCAACACTGATCCAGAGGCACTCCTGCTGGGTGTCTGTAGCACCAAAGATACACCTTAAACTGCCAGGACAACTCTCAATGGGAGCATCATGGAGTGAAGTACTATGCTGCCATTTGATATTTTTACCCTTCTGTTCTGAATTTCTGGGATTTCACTGACCAACTCATGAGGGCAAAAGAGTAATTTGGCTGCTTAAAAAAAATTAATTTAAACCTCTAGTTATGTGAACGGTGATAAACTGATAGCAACTAGAACAGTTAGAAGATTTATTTCTCTCTTTATTATCCTGATGGTGAAAATTATTTTGTGTGCTAGTGCCACTACTTGCAAAGCCTTTGCTTTAATCCTCAGACAATCCTACCACCTCAGCCAAAGTTATTGCCTCCCATCCAACACACCTTTCACCTGCTTTGGTTCAAATCTGAAATTAATTTACAGGGTAAGAGCAGGATAAAACTTCTCTGTTTGAAACTACAGCATAACTGATAACTGATGTGTTAATCTTCTCAACTTTCAAATCAGTCACATTACATAAACCCACTCAAAATCATTTACATTTTGATCTACAAAAAGCTACTAAATTTTTTACTAACAAGTTAGGGTTTTTAAAAAATTATATTTATGTCTGTGAGGATTTTCCAATACACTACTCTAACTCAATGCTATTCTAACATTACGGTGATTTTATGTAATTACTTAGTTTTCTTATGTCTGCTAACTTACTGTGGCTTGCACACGTTTGTATTTATTGGAGACATAACAGAAAAAAAAAAAAGCATTTGAAATGCCAACAAATGAAATTTAACACAGAAAACTCAGAATTCATTAATGACAAAACATGGAGTTATGAAAGACTGCACAAAAGTCATTCACTCACTGAATTACTACAGAGACTGAGGGATTTATGCAAGGTAACAATACATCCAAAATGATACAGCTCAGTTCAACACACCACATCTCACTGCACTAGCAGCACCTTGTGAACCAAACCTCCAACTGAGCCATCTCGGCTCATTTAGTCTTTATAAAATTAACTTTTTTCTTTAGAACAGCTATCTTTGCCAAAGGACAAAAGGACACTATGTGGGTAAATCTACAGTATTAATCTAGACATTAAACATCTTTTTTGGCAATAATAAATATGAAGGTCCGGAATTACCCACTACAGACTGTAAACACGATTGTGTACTTAGTATGATCTTTACAAATCCACCATATAACAATTTGTGTTTCACCAAAGTCAAAGATACAATTCAGTCACTTCTTTGCAGGCTGACCAGAATATTTCCTATTAGTTTTGCAGTGAACTTTGTTATATATTATTCTAGTGTTGAGTGTCTGTTTTAAAATTCCTATAGACAATATGATTTAAATCATTATGATATGATTAAAGCTATATGATTAAGCTCATTAAAACAAATGATCAAAGTTTCCTTAGACAATCTAGCATCTGGATTCATTTTGTGATCAAAACTTGTTTGCTTAATCAGGTTTTTTTATTCATCAAAGACTCAGGTAATGAGAAATCTTTGCATCTTTTAATTACCCATTCCTGATAACACCAGCCTCAATTTCTGCATAGTTGAATTTAGAATAAAACATGTTTTAATTAACTTTTTTTTAAAGCACGGTAAAGATTTTATCAGGTATTAATGGCAAACACCACCAGTCCAAACCTACTTGCATGTTTCTTTTCAGTAACACAGACTAGTAAGAACTGCCATCTGTAACAAATGCTTCTTTTGCTTTCTCATTATTTGTGCAAATGTTGTACAAATTACTTAATGACTGTGCAAATGTTTTTAAAAATATCCTTAAAACTGAAACATAACTTTTTTTAAAGCAACTGCTGTTCAGATTGTACAGTCAGTGAGCTGACCCTTGCAATGTTTCACATATCTATCTCAGAAGCTGTTAATTACTGACAAAACAGAGCTGCAAAGACCCTGCACTCCAGAGGTGACTTACCAGTGGTTGGGCATTTAGAACCAGCTTTAGCCCCTCTGTGCTGGCTGTCACGGTCTAGCTCAAAGTACACGGACCCCCACCTACCTCCTCATGCAATCCAGCGCCCGAATGAAGAAGTCTTTGTGCAGCTGGTGCTCGTCCCTCAGGATGGAGCACTGCTCCAGCGTCACCGACATGGATGTCCTGTCTTTGGCACTCTTGCAGCAGGTGAAGCGCACTCCGTTCAGCTTCCGGCAGATCTGAAACACAGGCGCGCCCCACAGGTTGGCACTTCTCCCAGCAGGCAGGCTGTGCTGTGCAGCCCCTACGACTCTGCAAGCCCAGAAAGTGCATGCAGAGCCACAGCGTTTCTCAGGAAGAAAGCACCGATTAAAAGTTAGTACCGGTACATTCCATTCCTGAACTTGAAATAACATTTTTGTAACTATAACAGAAACAGTTCCTTCACTGTTTCCTCGCTAATCTGGCAACCACTCTGTTTAATGAAAGCTTAATTGTCTGAATACCTAATGAATAAAGAAAAAACTTGGTAAGTCTTAACTCACAAACATAAATGCAGCAGACTAACTTCTTATGAAGGTATGGAGTCAGACACATCTGAACGGAAATAGTTTTTATTTTCAACAGGTAAAGTGTTCAATGTATGACTCACAATTAATAAAGTTTAACACAAATGACTGCCATGGATTTTCTACTTTCACTTACACTTTGAAAAAGTTCTAAGGCATAAGGGAAACATGATATTTTTGAGGATGATTGCTCCCCTTAAGGATCAATCTGTGGTTGTACCAGTCCATCAGTTTATGCTTCCGTTTCAAACAATATTTTTCTAGAAAAAGAAAAATTTGAAGGAGAACTGCCATGCCCAAGTGTGGCTCTTCCTTTCCCCAGATGCAATTTGTCCTGAGAAAAGGTAATATTTTGCTTACACCTGTCCCTGGAGAATCATAGGTATAACCATATGAAACCCAAAAATGTTTGTGAGAATAGGGCAAGGCAATAAATTACAGCAGTAATCACAAAAAGGATCTTCCCACATTGGCTGTCATGGGAGAGCTCGCAGGATGAAACTGCAACATGATCTCCACAATGTCAGTCCAGCAAATAAGCATTTCTTCATTTGTTAATTGCATTCTCAGAAATTCTATTAAAATCAATGGCCCAGAAAACACTTAGAGTCTTTTAGTTCTTTGTGATACTATGGTGGGGGCAATCTCAAAAGTTTAATTTAGGGAATCAATTATGGGAATCTTACTTAGGACCCAAAGAGGTACGGGATAGTGAAGGAGAACCTATGAGTGTTTCTTTCATCCTACAATTTAAAATTTTAAAAGTTAAATCTGTTTAAAAATTTGAACAGCTGCACTGGGATTTAAATAAAGTACTATATGATAATTTTCTTAGATAATGGTGTAAAAGCAGTTAACTGTTTATTTGAAGAGATAAATTCTCTTTACACTAGTATCTCTGGAAGTCCATGAGTCATGGAGGCTATTCGATATGAGTCCTAAAAAAATTAAAAATATTAAAAAATTCATTTAAAAAATAAAATAAAAAAAATACCAGGTAAATATTCTGTTTGAGCGATGGGCTCTGATGTAGGGAAGACATAGGAGGAAAAGAAATAGAATTAACTTCTATTAGATTTATTCTAACAGTCCAGTTACATCAGGGATTACATTCAGGTACCTATACTTATGTGGAATCTCATGCACCTACTGTAATAAAAAAGTGATATTGCACAGCTATTGCACTGACAAAGTTTTATTCTTGCATCTTTTTCAAGAAATAAATGGAACATTGTAAAACAGTGTGTAGATTATTGGAACCAGAAATACACATTTCAGAAAGTTAAAGTAAGGGAACCTAAAGAGAAATAGAATTCAATGAAGGACAAACCTGAAACACTTGGTATGTCCAAAGAATGCTTTTTACCCATGAAAATATTTTCAGGGAACGCTGAATAGATGGAAAAATAAAACTTTCTACGCCCAAAGATTTAGCAAATTCTTTGTAACTCCTTTTATACTGCATCTTCTACTTATTTAAAAGCAGTGTTTCATAGTAATTGCAGGACTGGTTCTGCAAGAAAAACGTATTTTTACTTACAAAGGATTTATATTGCAACAGCATGTGATGATATTTATTAACCACAAGACAAAATGTTATTAGCAATATGAAACTTATAGCAGTGTTATTATCACCAAGATATATTTATGATTGTATTTTCTCTGGTGTTAATAAAAAGTCATGGAAAATTATATTAATAACTTTGTATCAAATATTTATTTGCCTTGAATGGTATATACATTTTAAAGTCTCCCAAAATGCAAAGTCTTGCTTCACTTTCAGAAAATACCAAAAGCTTCCTGCTAGTAAAAGGGGGCAGATATACCAAAGGTACTTTTCTAAATATAAGACAAGTACCTGGCTGAATTTCATATTCCTGAAAAGCTTGAGCTCTTGATAAACATCTAAGAGTTGTCTTCCTGGCCATTTTTTTTAATATGTACATGTAAACTCCATAGAATTGGGAAACAGAAAGGAATTATGGGGAAAAAGCAAAATAAGTATTATTGCTAGATAAACAATTTCCTTTGTGTTCTCCCTGTGTCCTTTGCATGTCTTTTGCAAGTTATTTGTGAAATTAATTTAATTATGAAAATCAAAAGTTGCATGCAGCAATAGCAAAAAAAGCCAGAGCAAGCAATTATGTCCCACATCATACCTCAAGGACACTAAAAAAAAAAAAAAAAAGTTATTTTGACTAATTTTATGTTATAAAAGAACAGATATGAAACAAATTGCTCAAATCCTAGTGGGTTCTACCAGTCAAAAAAGTGAGAAAAAGAAATTGTCTGCGATTTAAGTGGAGGAAGAAGAGATAAATTTATGAGTGGAATGAGTGACTATGAGTATGTTAGAAAATCACTTCAGCACGTCTGCCTCCTTTAACCAGTGAGTTCTCCAATCATATCCTTAAAATCCATTGCACTTACAATATCAGCAGGCTTATGAAAATGTGTTCATCAATAATTCATCAATTTCTTTGAAACAAGAAAGCTTACCGTTGCAGCCAACCACATGATTTCTACATTCTTTCTCTTTTTGGCCTGGATATTTTGATGAAGACTTTCTAGCAACCCCTTTAAATCATTTTGTTCTTGAAAATGTGGTAAACCTAGGAAAAAAAGGATGATAAAATTGCTCGTTAGGATAAGGTTGATGGCATGGTTGTCCTGACTAAAGAATGCTCATGGTGAAGAACAGGTCTATTATTTACAGCATTGTTTGAGAACACAGGATAGAAATTACCAGCTAAAAACTTAAGGAATAAGCAAACCGTATGTCTTCGAGTATTGGGTTGTCCTCCCTAAGATCTTCATGTATAAATTTAAAGTATCTTCAAACTTTATTTTATAAATAGATTGTGAAAAACAAAATCAAATATCTGCAGTAGTTCTGTTCATCAGTTATTATAGACATTCAATGGAAATCAGGAGAAAAACCCTGAGTATATTACAACCTGCTTTGATGGGGTGATTTTTTTATTTTCAAGTCAAAAATGTTGGTTTTGTTTTCAAATTGAAACATCCAATTTTTGTTTTGAAATGTGCCTTAGTTTTTTTTATATAATGTAACATAAGGGTTAAACAGCATTAAATATCCCCTCTAAAAAGTAACAAAGTGTATTTCTTAGTCTGAAATTAAACGGGGCTTTATTTTCAAGTAGAAAATAATTTCATGTTTACTTAAAAATACAAAATGTTACCTGCTTATCCTGGGTAAGCCATCCAAGCTGAAGTTTATCGTACATATCCATAGCAAAAATTCAAGAGTAGGCACTTTAATTTACCCCTCTGTTTCCTATGTATATATAGGAGGGATTTTTCTAATGTTACCTTTATCTTCACTAGTTTTGAAAATCAATAAAAACAAGCAAAATCTGTTTCCTGAAATGATTTCTTCTCAAGGTGATGAAGTAAAAAAAAATTAATTATAGTTATCACTAAAAAAAGGGCTCAGAATCAAATGAAACAAAGTGAAACTAAATTGATCAAGGGATACAGTTTATTCAAGCAGAGAAAGTAAATTCTCCATCCAGTGAGGGAAAGAAAACCCCATAACCCAGGCCCCAAAACCAAGCCCAAAGACTTGCACTTAACTGAGAGAAAAAAAATGAGAGAAGTATTAATGAAGGTCAATATCCATTCTCCTAATGTGATTGAAGTTGGAATGATCCCTCTTATCAACAGGCTTTTTACCTTTTACATCTAATTAATTCTGTAGCTTCCCTTATCCATGTTTCACAGTAAGAAGTAAATTAAATATATTCAAAAAGAACTAAATTGCTTCACTCATACTGTGCTGTCTAAAAAAATATCACAAACAACAAAAAAAAGGGAGGAAAAAGTACATCCAAACTAGTTTTGCAATAACCTTAATGTGGGTTGTTTTAACTGTGTATTACAAGTTCTGATTGTACACTTAGATAATGCAGAGCACATAAAAACACATCACACCCTGCTATTACACTTATGGCTGCATCTGTTTCTTTAAAACACAGAGCACACAATGACAAAGATGCTTTGAGATTATGCAAATGTATCACTAAACATTTTATTGCTTCCAGGCAGCTTTCTTTTGGTTCACAGCAGAAAATGCAACATCTCTGAGGGGTGACTTCACCACAGGTACAGCAGGAGTCTCAATATACAGTACTGCCAAATGAGCTGCACCTTGACTGGAAATGATCAATTCCTTCAACTCCTTGGGTCCCTCACAGTATTCAACCATCAAACCATCATCAATATCGATTATAAGGGGGAGGAGCCTAGAAGTACCAAACAGCCTTGTTGTATTCAGTTAGTAATGTACTACTGAACAACAATCTTACATTTTCGGACCCTTACTAGCCTTAGCATTTCTATAAAAGCAGTACCATTTTGGTGCCTTAACCAGAGCTACATTTGGTCACCATTTTTGGTAGGAATCTTTCTGGGAACACACTCCTATTTTCAGTTTCTGCTAAAAGAATTTAAAAGGTTAACAAACGGGTAAATGACAAAGTGTAGGTTCACCTTAAAGAGGATAAAGTCAGTGTGTGCTCAGTTGCAAGCAAGAATATTATTGGCAAGGGCAAATACAGACACAAGAGGAAAACTAATAGCAAAGGTGGCAATACCTTTCTGGGAGTGGAAAATTGAATTATTTGAAAGGGAATATACGAATGAAGCAGCAGGCAAGGGAGGCTGCCAAGGGTGGATGCAACAGCCTGGCAAACAGCACCAAGAGTCCTCAAATTCTGTCGGGCTTTATGAGCACTGTTTGGAACTAACAGCTTTGGGAACACAGTCCTGCATCTATTTTGTAGCAAAGATTTGGCACTACAGGAAATTATTTGGAAAGGTGGGACAAAAACATCAAAGAGCCATCAGTGCTGAATGCCTCTCACTTGGCCCCAGCATCAGGGCTGCTGCCAGCCTTGTATGGAAGTTTGTCTTCCAGAGGTGGGGGAACAGGGGAGGGATTAAAGTCCATCCCCAAATGAACAAATTTGAGAGATTTTTTTCCCAGGGGGCTGGTTTAAAAGGCACATTTCTCCAAGGCAAAAGAGTGATTCTATACACTGGCAGGGAGCTACTGAGAAGGGCAGTGGAACCAAGAGGTGCTTTGTGTTCCACAAAAATTTGTATAAACAGACTCAGTTCTTAAAGGTAGAGAAAAAACCAAGAAGGTTATAATAACCAGAAAAGACAGGATGAAAGAGACAACATGAGTTGTCAAAAGCCTGCACAGTCTGGAAGAAGTCCAGGAACTGTGTGACTTACTAATAAACCTGCAGGACAGCAGTACAAGTTTAAATTCTGTTAATGAAAAGCAGCCAATACTATCTGCATGCAAATTTTTGCTTTACAAAATCCAATCCATTTATGAGGCAGCAGATCTACCTCAGTCCTAACCTGGATGAGGTTAGTTTTTCGAGGATATTTTCTTGGCAAGATTCCCCTGAATTAATTACCCAACTTGTATGAGTTTCTCTGTAGACATCCTAGAAATACTAGGTCTGGGGGTGGATGGATGGGCATCCTGCCCACCATTTAGGAAGAGAGCTTTTGTTTCTGTCAAAATTATTAACAAATTAAAATCATCCTGATATAAGAGATAAACATGCATTCATACACATGATGTGATGCATCAAAGCTTTACATAGGATTTAAAAATCAGGCTGTTAAATCTGCAACATTTGGGACTTTAGTTTGGGCATTAAAACAACTTTAACAGGATTAGATTGATGCAAACATTTTTTCAGTCCTTGCTTTTGGCAATCAGTGTAACAGCATAGTAACGTTTATGTGTATGATATGGAATTTCTGTTCAAGTGGAATACAGGGCCTATTCTAATGAAACCTTGTTATTCATATCATGATGTGGCTCATTGCCTGTATTTGCATCTGCAGATTTCTCAGTGGTTCACCAAGCCTCAATACATTTTCAGAATAAGAACAGAGGGAATGACTGATGCTGATGAAATTTCCTACCAAGTATTTCTGTACAAATACAATAGGTACAGACTGTGCTCTTGAAATATTAAGAAACTTATTATTTTAATAACTTAAAATAGCTGTTCAGTTCATCATTCCTCTGTTTCATTCTCTCTGTAGTTTCTGCTGTGGCATTGGGCCTGAAATCACTCTTGAGATCAGCAGGGCTTTGTACAGATACAAAATGTTTATATTTATGGAGCAAGTTATGGAATTTTGCTAATATTACTCTCTTATAACCTTTTACCCAGCAAAGCTTTTCAAAGCCATCTGGACATCACATTATTTTTTACTCACAATCAGGAGGCATTTTTTCCGTAAATAACTTGTAATATTCTTTGAGAAGTTCTAAGTTTTCCTGGTTAATATTTTCCTGCAAAGTGGTATCTCCAAACCTATGAAAATACACAATAAATTATGAAAAAAAACCCAAAACCCACAAACCAAAACAAAGCTAAATTATCATTCATAATTATTTCTTTGCATAAAGAAATAAATTTGATTTTTTATTACTTGTTTTATAGTGCTAAATGCATTAGATTTTGCCAAACATGCAGTAATTAAGTTCTTGCGTGCTTTGGAACTAATTTTTGGAAGCTATATCGTCCCTGATGGGTAATTCTTCCAAAAATTTATTAACAAAGCAATCCATTTACAAACATGCAATCAGGCACTTATTCTTTTTGCCCTCACAAACCCCGAATAAAAGAAAAGACACTTTGGGAGAATTCCAAATGGGACCATAGGCAGAGAACACCCACTCCTGCATCTCTTAGTGCTGTTGTTGCTTAGGCATATTAATTTCTGTAAGAGCTGGACAATATGGAAGTGACACAAGATGGAAGAGAAGCTTATCAACAAACTAACTATAGCTATGCAAACAAATATCTTTATCTCTGAAATCAAGATTTCTACAACAGTCACATTTCACATGTCAAGAAAATAAATCTCATGGTACTACAGGAGATATGATTGTAAAGACAGGAATGTCCCCTGGGCACTTAGGGCCAAGTTTTTGCAATTCATCTTTAGAATAGCTTTGAAATGGAAATGAAAGAGTACAGGAAAAAAGGCATGGGCAGGTAAGTGAGAAATTCAGGTAGAGAGAAGGGGACACAGGTCAGAAGATGCCAAATACACTGCTATATTATATACAAGGGAAGCAAATATTTCAATGGGCCAAAAGGAGAAGACTTGGCTACTTCCTCCATAGTCATCGCTGCACTGTCACATGAGAATATTTCTTTTAAACCAGAAATATTCCCAAATGTATTCCATCAAAAACAAAGAAAAGGATGTTTTTTTATCTAATAAACATTTCCTAGAAATTTGCCACAAAAAAGTTTTTATATTCTAATGTTCTTTATCCCACAAAACCCCCCATATTTTTAGCAAAAAATCATGTGTTTTCAGTCTCAAAAACAAATGTGCAACTTGAGTTAAGCAATATTTTGAATTAAGACAAAAGCAGACTGTAACTGCATAAAGAAAAGTTGCTCTGCATTGAATTGATTTGGCAGATATTAGTACATATCCATATTTATAGATATGTAGGTACTATATTTTCTCTCATGGCTTTCTTTGTGTACAATGTAAAATGATCACTGGGAAAAATACTTCCTGCCACTTCACCTGAAAGCCAGGCATCTTTTCAACCAACTCCTCTACAAGCCCCCAGGTAATCAGGCTATTTCTAAACCTCAAATTTTTCTTCAGAACATTTGTAACACTCAGTCCTTTCTGCCTACCCCACACATGTAAGCTCTCACCAGGTTGCTTCTTGGTTACCACATCATGCCTTATCTCTTATTTTGTAAGACAAGATGTGTCCCACTCAAAACTCTCATGACTGTTTGCTGGTTTTGCACATTATGACTTTGGCCATGTCACTCCTCTCAGTGCTTCCTTGTTTCTCAAGAAACAAGAAATCTATTTTCATTTTCAAGAAGTTCCCAAGTTCTCTAAAGAACTATTCAACTCTTTCACCTGTAAAATGCTAGTTTTTACTGTCTTTGGATTCAGTCATGTCTCCCATTTCAATTTTCTGCCTAAATTTTTCTCAGATACCACCACTCAACTTGGAAAAGTCTCCCACAAACATTCACAAAGCTACCTGATGGCATTCTTTAGTAGTGTTCTTTAACACACTGGTTTTACTCGGCTGTGTAAAAAGAGCAGGAGGTGAAATTCCTGTGCTGCTTAAATTCTTGCCTATTGTCCAGGTTAAGGATTTTCACTGTCTCCCTCTATTACTCCAGCTACACTTTTGCTACAAACTTTTGGCTTATAGCAAACGCAACCTAAAAATAAATATTATGTATTTTGGACGTTTTGGTCATAAAAGTAGCTAGAATAAAAAAGTTTTAAAAAAGTAGCTGGCTGTGTTGACATCTTGACTTCTACTTTGCAGTTTTAGCACTGCACAAATGTGGTAATTTAACATGACCAACAGATACCCTTCTCTTGGAAGAGAAAATTAATACATTGGTGAAATTTGACTATTATTATAGTAATTAATTAGTTTTCAGCAATCTGTTGCAGAGGAGTACTAATAACATGCCAGAACTTTATCAGCCTTCACATTTCTACAATCATACTACAAATGCATTCCCTATTATTAACTACCACTCCACAACCCTGGAAAAAATCTCTAAAAAACTGAGAAAAATTCTCTAACTTATGACTTGTCCAGACTTTCCGACCCCACCTTTAAGATATAAGAACTCTGAATTTTCAAGCTCTTGTTTGAGAATTTCAAAGTACTGCATACAAACAAAATTCTGGATCTATATCCAAGAGAAATGTGGCACCAACTCTGTGAAACAAAGCCCTGCTTGTGGTCCTATCTTCATCTGGACTTTTTCATTGTTCTGCATTGCTTCATAGCTTGTGTTTGTTTCCTTTATTACCTTTTAAAATACACACTGAGTCAATGTGAGATGGTTCAAGAGCAAATAACAAAGAAGATTTATTTCTAATCCTGAGAGATATCCTGTACCAGCATGGAGCACTTGGACAGAAAATGAAACATTACTTTTTCTTACCTCTCTGCCAGTGTTTGCTGTTCATTGATTCCAACATTAAAGAGCACTGGATACATGCGAAGCAGCTTTCCTTCTTTAATCTCTTGTGGCAGCAGCTCAAACATCTTTGCTGGAAGCTGGACCTCTATAATGTAATGTTCACTGGCAAAAATAATAACAAGAATAAGGATAGGGTTCTTGATTGATTTGCTTAAAATAAACTTCCTAAATTATAGAGAATGTACAGACTTACAAATTCTTCTGTTTTTCCCTTAATTGAACCATAAAAAAGAATGATTCAGCTTGCTTTTTTTAAGAGCATAACCAAGAAGAAAGACAGGTATAACTGTATATAACTATAAACTAACTTCTTTACTGAAGTTAAAATAGGACTAAGCATGAAAGCAGCAGAAAAGTTCTCTGCTACCAAAATATCAATAAGAATACCTCAACTCTTAAAATGCATCTTGCTGAGTTACAAAAACAACTTACTTCCACAGTCACAATTTGATCTGGTATACATTCTAAAAGTAATATGAGCAGAAACCTTTCACAAAAACCCAAAGTAAAACTCGCATTTTCTTCAGTGGTTGGATTTTCTCCCTGGGGGTAGAAAGCATCACCAATAACAAAATTGTCTCTGTGAAGACAATAACTGAAGGCTCATTACACAAACATGAATCCTGTTTTAGGAGGAGGGATATGATATATAGCAGTTTTGGACTTACATTTGTGTTTGGTCTGACTTTATAAAAAATGTGCTACTTTGTCTACCAGGTCAAATTCTGATCACATGGAACCCCCAAGCTGGATTTCACCTGCCTTGGAGAACTGATGCTTGACCCCACGTAAGAAACAATAGGATGATGTTATTTTAGGTTTTATTAGCTTTAGAGTAATCAACTAAATAAAAAAGGAACAGACTAGAAGCAAACCCATTTGTTTCCAGGATCTGGTCAGGGCTGACTGACAATGGAAGCTGAAATTTTCACTACTGCAGAGAATATTTGGAATACCACACCAGCAACAAGGGGTATTAGAGCAACAGGAGGGAAGATCTATCCTGCCTACAGAAGTCAGGCCAAGGAAGTAACAGAGGTTTTGTATGTAAATTTAAGATGCATAATTGTTTGCACCTATTCAAATGATGATTAAGTCTCTCCAACTCTTCAATCACATAACTTGCTAAAGAATAAAAATGCCATCCAGATTGCCTACATGAAGAATTTGGATGAGAAAAGACAGAAAACCTTGAAGAAAAAGGTCAGTTTCTGCAGTAGCTCTGACATCTTTGGCAAGCTTGGGACGACTGGCACCAGCTCAAATGTTTGGAAAAACAGGTTCCACCTGGAAGAGCCAGTGGTGATGTTTAAACTTTATCCTGCTCATACATCTGAGAACAAAGTAGAACGGATCCGTGCAGACCTGTGATTGCAATGGAATTGCATTTAGCAAGGGCAGCAGCATCTGCTTAGTACAGGCTAGAAGTGGTGTGCAATCTTTGAGCAAATGCCAGATGTTCCCCACTGAGAGGGAGTACCAGTCCTGAATGGAGAATACATGTCTCAGGGAGGGGGGAGGAAAAACAAAATAGTTCTGCCTCACCAGTAAGTTTATGTTCTGTTTAATTAATTCACTCATGTGAAAGAAATAGAGTTAGCAAAAAGGGTAGTAAAGAATGTGTGTCCCATGACCTCTGCATAGCAGCATTAATTCTCAGCCTGAGAACCCTCCTGGCTGCTGTCAAGTGCTACCAGAACACTCCTGTGACTGTGCTTTGATGAACATGAGAAGAAATGTTGGTTTAGTCTCACTCAAAGACCATACACTGCAGAACCAAAATGCCACCAAACCACTGCATTGTTACATTTCACTACTCCCAAAATCACTACAAATCTCTGTGCGTGAAAGAATGCTGAGAAATGCTGATCTTTATATATTAGTACCAGAACAATTTGAGACTTTCCCCTTTGTCTTTTCTTTTTTTTCCCCTTTTTCAAAACATTTTTTGAAGTCTCGGATATAATCTGTGGTAATTTTAAAAAGTCTGTTACCAATTGCACAAGGAAAACAATGGGTTTCTGATTATGGAAGGAAAAGGCTGTGAAGATATGACAGAGCTGTCTAGGAAGTCCAGGAATAGTACTGAAGTCAAGCGAAGGCAAAAAACAAAACAATTCAAAGTACTGAAATCTGGAAGACTTGTTTCACAGCAGTTTACCGAAGATTTTACAGGTCTATGATTATACTTAAAGGAGAAAAAGAAATATAACAGTACATTTTATTATCATATGCTTTCTCTCTTTTATGGCTAGATTCAATGCAGAGCTATCAGGTGATTTTGGCAGGATATGGATTAGGCAGATACAACATTTTCCAATGAGATGGAAAAATCACTACATAATTTTTAACATTTAATGATCTTTCAGGCAAATAGTGGAGAAAACAACCATGTTTTAAGAGACTAAATAATAAATCTTCATCTATTTAAGAAGAAATTGTATAAATTTAGGTTTTAAATATTTAAACATATATGATTTGCCTAAACAGGACTACTTAAAGATATCCCTCTTTCTTTGCTTTATTCTCTAATATTTGTTATCATCACATATGAAGATAGACAAACACTTATAGTCCTGTTAGAACACTTCTAAAAAGCAACCCCCATATAGCTGGGGTCATGGATCCTGCAGCTGTTTTGAGTTGGCTGAAATTTCACACCTTTAGCTCATTGCAGTAAACCCAAAACAAATAATTTACATGGACTTTGCTTTGTAAAAGAAAAAAAATGCACACATGGTCAGTCACAGCAACTCAGCTTGGAGGTTCTTTACTCAGCTCTTCTTCCAGGTGAGTGCAATGTTTTAGATCACTTCAGTGTGGCTTTAAGTGCTAGTCCAGTTTTGGGCTTTCTTGAAAATACAGCGTAAGAGGCTGTGACACCTTAGAGAGCTGGGCAATCATCAGTTGTACAAAGTTCAACAAGTGAAGAGCCAGATTCTCTACCTGGGATGGGACAACCCTGGATGTATGGACAGACTGGGGAATGAGAGGCTGGAGAGCAGCACTGTGCAAAGGGACCTGGGGGTCCTGCTCCATGGAAAGGTGAATGTGAGCCAGCAGTGCCCTGGCAGCCAGGAGGGCAACCCTGTCCTGGGGGGCATCAGGGACAGCATGGCCAGCTGGGCAAGGGAGGGATTGTCCCCTCTGCTCTGAGCTGGGGCAGCCTCACCTCCAGGGCTGGGGCAGTTTGGGGTGCCACAATATAAAAAAGACATGAAGGCATCAGAGAGTGTCCAAAGGAGGGCACGAGGATGGTGAAGAGCCTTGAGAGGAAACCGTGTGAGGAGTGGCTGAGGGCACTCGGTCTGTTCAGCCTGGAGGAGACTGAGGGGAGACCTCAGGGTGGTTATCCCTTCATCAGGAGGGGAAGTGGAGGGACAGGGACTGATCCCTTCACTCTCCTGGGCAGTGACAGGAGGGACAGGCACTGAGCTCTTCACTCTCCTGAGCAGTGACAGGACTCAAGGAAACAGCCTGAAGACCTCTCAGGGAAGGTTTAGATTGGATATCAGGAAAAGGTTCTACCCCACAGAGTGGTTGGGCACTGGAACAGGCTCCCCTGGAAAGAGGTCACAGCACCAAGCCCGACAGAGTTCAAGAAGCACTTGAACAAAGCTCTCAGGCACCAGATGTGATTCTTGGGATGTCCTATGCAGGGCCAGGAGTTGGACTTGGTGATGCTTGTGGCTCCCTTCAAACTCAAAGTATTCTGTGATTCTGTAAAGAATATTCGAGAAGTGCATATTTTGGGCTCTAATAAAAGAACGTGAGTTCCTGAACAGAACTTCACCTCCCCTGGGTGGCCAGTGTCAGCTACCCATACCAGTAGGTCAGTGCACTGCTAGACAGTGCCACACACTTTGGAGTGATTTTTTTTGTGCACACAGAATCTCAGGCTTAATCACTTCCCTAGAAAAAAACAATTACATTTGAATATGCTGACTCTTCAAGATAATAATTTGTAGTTTGCTTTTGTCTTGTGTTTCTGCAGTCTTTTAATCTCATTTTTTGAGCCACACCATATAACAACCAAACTGATCGAAAAATTGAGGATTTCTTAAACAATCATTACAAAATAACGAGGTTTTTCACCATCTTCTCTTTTTATGGTTGACTTCCAATGCTGTCTGATAGGAGCAGTTTCATCACAACTCTGAGGGGAATGGGACTCCTCCACATAAGCATTATAGATTTTATTTTTTGCTGATACCAATCCCATCCAGCGAATATCTGCCAGTAAGTACAGTACAGAAATCACAAGCTGTAGCTCTTCTTCCTAAACACTGACTGCTCCATCAATCCAGAATGCCTGAGGCAGCTGAAAACCCAGGCCTCTTTCAAATTCAGGACCTCCTGGTGTGACAGCTCAGTGTACCACAGTAATGGCAACAAGCCAGTAAATGTAGATGCTGGATTTTTCAGGATTTGTGGCTGCTGTGATTTACAAAGGATTTATTTCTTCTGTTTTATCCACACACCATAATTATTCTTAATTATTCCCAATGTGTTGCCTATCACACTCCAGCCTTCCTGTTATTTATTTCAATCCTTTCTCAGAAAGCTCATACGATGAGAGTGAATCATCCAGAATAATTAAGTAAATCAGTGGTGAAAGCCTCCTTCAGAGGAAACATATTTTTTAAAAGTTACTGCTTTTAGCTGAATTTAATTTACAGTCATCTTAAGAATAACGATATTATTTTCTGCAAAAGTAAAAACATTTGGAGCTTCAGACTAGAATAATAATAAAGATGAAAAATCCATTCTAATCTTGTTAACCCTCAAATAGCCAAAATTAATGCAGTATTGCAGTTTATGTCCTGATATTCAGCAGTACTTATGTGAGATTCATAAAGTATAAGTGATTTTGTGCAAGGATTTCTGAGATTGCATATGCCCTGTGTCATTTTCAGCAGCTAAAAAAGGCTTCCTTTTTCAAAAGTGACACTAAGTTTTGAAGGCTAAGTGGTATCTGAGTTTTTTTGGTTTCCATCTTAAAAACATTCAAGGCCTAAGTCTTGGAATTGCAATTTCATTTCTCACACTGAAATACAAATTCTGGAAATTCAAAACTAGGTTCTCAGAGGCAACATTTGTAAATAATGACCTTGTTAACTAAGTTTCAGTATCTGTGTGTGAACAATGCACCAGCAGCTCTGCATAACAGATATTGTTCTGATTAATTTGCATTAATAATTGGAACTTTAAGCTTTTTATCAGGAGAGTAACCCAGAGCCCCTATTACCTCACCTTTTGAAAAGTAAAACTACTGCACTTTCCATAAAATAGAATTCAGCAGGAAGAAAACCATTAGCTGGGTATCATGTGCTACAGATTAAAACTGTAGTTTTGTTTCCTGGACTCCAGGAAACAAAGTTCTTACCGCCTTCCAGTTATAATAGGCAAAAAATCTTCTGATTTGGCTTCAATTACTTTAAACATCACTTTCTGCAAATCTGAAATGCCCACAGCCATGTCTTCTAGCATCCCTGCTTCTTCACCTACATGAAAAGATTAAAGAGATTATTTACAGCGTTGGCAGATCAGTCACCGTATAGGCTACAGTAAAGGAATATGAGGATTATATTTTCCAGTCTGTGCATCTAAAAATCACAGTTCTAAATCCACATTACAGTAACCTACATAAAACCAGACTGATTTCTAGAATTGTTGACAATTCTGTGGCCTAAATGGTGACTATGAGTATTAAGTAAATCTGAAAATCAACCTGCTGTATATAAGCATAAAATAACCTCAGAAAAGCCATTTTTCTGTATTCTTCAAGTGTTTAAAAGGTTTTCCTGCTGATGGAGGACAAAGGTTTTGAGAATAACAATGAGCATCATGCAAAACGGAGAAGACAGTGATCTCCAAGTGAGCAACTGCATAAAACAGCTGCACAAATGCTGAATTCCTCTGCTTTGGTCAAATTCTCTGATTTGAGGAATGATTCCAATAGATCTAGTTCAAAATTTGAAACATAAGGCAATTTCTCCCTCCAAATTTTATTTTTAATACTTATCAAATAATGGCATCTATAACACACTACGAATGAAACAGTTTTCAGGCCATCTTCACATTATCAGCACTAGTGTTCAGAATGAGGCTGATAGAGGCAGTAACTGTTTAAATCTGCTATTTGGATTAGCTTTATAAAACTAGTTTTTTTGGTCAGGTCTGCATGCAACAATTAGCAGGTTGTGTTCTCTGAGGAACTCGAAACAAGTTAGTAATTTTTGCTGCAGAATTTACAACACAGTACCAATGACTTCAGCTGTGCTATTATGTGCAAGTCTACTGCCTCATAAGGACAATATTTGATTCAACAAGCCAAATTATTGGAAACAGAGCAGAGGTTAAAATAAGAAATTCCCGGGTAAACATCTGGGCTGGGTACATAAGGAACTTTGTCCAAGAACAATACTTACTATATGTACTAAGGAGTCCTTCATATTGCACAAGCAATCCAACAGTATGAAGCTGTTGTAAAAATCCTTGATCATGTAAACCTGTGTGCAATTTGATTACAAATCCACAGACCAATCCAGCCAGCTGTAGTGATAATTAAAACACATGCCATTAGGAGGTGTACTGTTACAAGACAAATAGTTAAAATGAGGCTCACTATCATTATACACAATGGAGGTAACACCTACATATTTGAGAAAAACAGCACAGATATTTCTGTTCAGTGACTAAATGATTTCATAATAATATATTATTGATGCTTTTTTTTTTTTTGATGTATAAAGTAGTGAAATATTCCCTTAATTTATATTAGATAAGCTTAATTTGTTTTGTGGCATTGTGAGTTATTTATACTGACATAAATTAGACCAGAACCTTACTTGTCAGGCTTTAAACACATAAGACTCTGAATTATGATGAATTTGAAAGTAGTTCAACATCTAATGCAACTGAACCTCCTTGGCAGTTGCAACATATAACTTAAAGGAGAAATTAAGTGAAATCTTTAGAGAAAAATCTATCTGAAAAAACATGATCTACAGGAGAAGGCATACAGAGTTTTAGTTATTTGTTAAGGGAAGACAGTTCTAAGGAAAGACATGCTAATAGTCTTTAAACACTTAAAATACTGCTACAGTTTATTTGAAAACTAATAAACCACTCTCTATTTCCAAGGTGACCAGGAGAAAAAAAAACTCCCTAGCTTGGATGCTGCCTGGCCAGTGCCTCGTGAGGCCACATCTCTGTCTGGAGTGCTGTGTTCAGTTCTGGGCTCCTTAGGACAAGAAACACAAGGAGCTACTGGAGAGAGTCCAGAGGAGGGACACAAACATGATTTGGGGTCTGGAGCATCTCTTTTATGATGAGGAGAGACTGCTGGAGCTGGGCCTGTTCAGTGTGTAGATGACTGAAGGGGATCTCATTAATGCCCATAAATATCTCAAAACTGGTGCCCAGAGAAGTTCCAGACTCTTTTCAGCAGTCCCCAGCGACAGGATGAAGTGTGAAGGCCATAAACTAGAACACAAGACATTCCACCTCAATGTGAGAAAGAACTTCTTCACACTGAATGTGGCAGAGCACTGGAACAGGCTGACCAAGGAGAATTTGGAGCCTCCCTCTCTGGAGACATTCCAACCTCACCTGGGTGTGTTCCTGTGTCACCTGTAGGTGCCTTTGCCTTGGCAGAGGGGTTGGACTGGATCATCTCCAGAGGTCCCTTAACCCTACCTATTCTGTGATTCTCTGATTATGAATTTCTGCAAGACATACTCAAAGCTAGACTTGAGAACTGTATAATCTAGCAAGTCTAAAAATAGATTTCTGGATCTTTCTTTGTGCAATGGCAGGATTAGGCAACTTTTTCCCTGAAGACCTGTTTCTCTGACTCAGTGATAGAAGTACTATGGATTTGTAGTTACTGTTTAGTTTCCTATCACATTATAAAATATTTAGGTGAATATCATGGAAAATAAATTAAAATGTTGTGTCAAATTGGAAAAAAAAAACCAACAACAACAAAATGAAAACCACAAACACTGGCACGAACAGTATGCTTAGAATTACAGCAACAGAAGGAAATAAGTGACACAAGACAACCTACTGCTTGGCTAAAGACGATGTCTCTTCTTAGGGTCAGCATCAAACACTGGGGCAAACCACAGGCAAGTTCCTGGAGCAGGACAAACGCCATGGATTGCTTGGCCCTGGTCACCACCTCTCCCATGCAGTCCTTCAGTGTAATCACCAGTGGGTACAGCTGTTCATACCAGTCACCTAGAACAAAACAGGTCATCTGTTCCCCAGTGGAAAACTTGCAGTGAAAAACCCTTTTCTGCGAGGAAGGATGGCTGCAGCAGCTGTGTAGATCACCCTTCCCATTGAAATAACCCTGCAGCTCTCCCCAGACCATTGTGAGGCCAGAAATGCCACTGGAGAACATGCTTATAAATAGGACTCCATCTTACAACTGGGACTGGGGTTAAATCCCTGGCCTTAAAACAATTGCGCTGTGAAACAAGGGCCATTTTTAACGGCATCTCTGTAAAACTTGTACTTAAGTGTCACAGAGTATACAGGGAAACACATAAACCCTCATTTAGCACATAAAGATAAATAAAGTGGAGATGAAGATCTCCTGTTCTTTCCAGGACTTAAAACTGGCTACGCAAGAAATGAAGTAGCATCAAAAATGCAAAACCAGGGAGTGTAACTATATACTTAAGAAAAAGTTGGTGCTGGAGGGCAAAACACAATAAAATAGGTATCTGAAATGGTATCACCTGCTTAAGGTACAAGCTGGAAATATAATAAGCTTCAGATCATATTCCGCTTTAAATTTTTTTTAGCTTCTATTGTTCTCTTTAAATATTTAGAGATATTGAACTCATTTTTAGCTATTTCTATATGAGAGATGTAGAACTATTTTGAAACATGTTTTGCTCTGTTAAAATATATGCTAGGAATATCAGAAAAAAACCCTAGTGAAATGCTTGAAAAATGAGATTCCTTAACACATTACAAAGGAAACAGTGATAACTAGGAATGGAGGAAAATCAGAATACCTTACATAAACTTGCCCAATAATCCCAGCTGTTCCTGAATTTTACAGGATTTAATAAAATCAGACCTGCATTGTAGTTGCATATGGCTTTGCCTATCTTCTAACTCAAGCAAATAATTAAAAAAACCCCAATAAATCCCCCTCCTTCCAAATCTACATCTCAGTTTCATTATACAGTTTAATATGAGAGAAATTAGCACTCTAGAAAAATCTATATAAAAGTTGGGAATGCAACTGACTTAATACAATCCATAATTAGCTCATATTTTCTGTAGATTAGTGTAATTAAAATCAATGATAATTAAAATTTGTTGTAGTGAGGTGCAAGACAGCAGTGCTGTTTCAGGTAACATTCTGAGTCAGGCCAGTGAAAACTCGTTAGTACTGAGGAATTTCTTTAGGCAGGAAGACACAGTTGCCTGCTGCCAGTCAATTTGGCTGAGCACCAGAAAAACACATAAATTAATAAAACTGTAGCCAAGCAGACTGGAGAGAACTTTGAAAGCTGGGAGAAATTACAGAAAGTAAGGAGCAGGAAAGGGGGACAAGGACAGAGCAGGTACAGAGAACAACCTGAGCTCCTTTATTGTTTTTGTGGTCAGACAACGTGTTTTAACACAGTCATTCATATATTCATGAGTAATACAGACTGAGGAAGTGTTTCCTGGAAAACAGCAGTTCTAAAGTGAGTGTCAGCCTGACAAAACAGATCATAAGCCACCCCCAGGTACAAGAGCTCCAGCAAAAAGAGGAGATTTTATACATGTCATCGACTAACAGAGTGATGACACACTGCGTGCCAAGGTCTGTGTACAGGTTTTAAAGAGACTGCTGGAAAAATGGAGAGCTTGCAGAGCAGAGCTACCAAGATTTAGAGTTTAATCTCCTTAAGCTGATGAAAAAGGCTGAGCATCAACTTGAATTCCCCTCTTCATGAGGAGAAAATAACAAGGACTAACTGAGGTGTTTATCCTAGGGAATAAAAGCAAAAGAACAAACAGAGGCTGGTGCAAAACAGACGGGTTTAGAAATAAGGTAGACAAAAAGGTGTGATGTACTGGAAGTCAGTGTAGACAGACCAGGCAATCAAAACTCTGCTGTCAAGTCAAATTACAATCATTTATTAATTTAATCAATAAACATATGCCAATAAAAGAAACAGCTGCAAAATAAGCTCAAAATATATAATGTACACTGAACCAATAAGCAGGGCTGTATGTGGTAAGAATAGATTTAGTTGGCCGCTTCTTACTTCAGCAAATAATGAAAAAGATTATACTTGGCCATTTTAAAGTAAACTTGAAGGTACAGCAAACAGACATCTTTTCCTCTTCCATGGGAAAGGAGAGCTGGATACAGACACAGCCAAGGATGTGGTAAATACTCTGATAGCCAGGGCAGAAAAAGCAGAATTTCTAGAACTAACCACACTCCCTGAACCTGCTATTACAATTTCAGGTTATGTGGATAGGGCTAAAGAGCATTTCTGAAAGCCTTTTTCATAAAAGAACATGTACAGACAGGAGAAAGGGGAACGGATTCAAACTCAAAGAGAGTAGGTTTAGTTGGATATTAGGACAAAATTCTTTACCCTGAGGATGATGAAGGACTGGCACAGGTTGCCCAGAGCAGCTGTGGGTGCCCCATCCCTGGAGGTGTTCAAGGCCAGGCTGGATGGGACTTGGAGCAGCCTGGTCTAGTGGAAGGTGTCCCTCCCCAACTGCTGCAGATGGGTTGGAATGAGATGCTCTTTAAGGTCCCTTCCAACCCAAACCATTCTTTAATTTTATCAATAGAAGGGGTCACATACTGGCCACAAGTCGCATAATACCTAGATCTGTTTTTACTGAAGTGCCACTTAAACAGTCCATCTGCACTGTGGATTTCGGTTTCTTCAGCAACATAACTTTGTATTTCTCCTTCCTGAACTGCATCCTAATATTTCAGCACTCCGTTTCATCATAGTCCATTCTAATCCTGCTCTCACAGTGCTTAAAGCCTCTTCCATCTTTAAGCATCTGCAAATTTTATAAGCATCATCCATATTTCATAAAGCAAGTCAGTAATAAAAATACTGAATAATACCAGACCCTGAACAAATGTAAGTGGATTCTCCTCCATGCAGCCTTCCAGGTTGGCAGTAAACAACTGATAACCACCTTCTATTATGATTTTCCAACTTATTTTGCACATACCTTGTGGTAACTTCAAGATAATTTTCTCACAACATTTTTTGAGGGGAGACTACATGTTTGGAATACTAACTTATTAATCTACCAACATAAGTAATTTTTGTCCGTAACAGTTGCATTAAAAAGGAACTGAAAGATTTGAAATTCTCAAGGCCATTTTTTCATTAAAGAACATTCATACTAAATTTATTAAAAATAAATCCTACTGAGTATTTAAAGTCCCAAAGAATACAAAGCCTTACTTACATAGGTATTTGGATTTTTGGTAAACAATAAAATTGTAAGTATGTAGAAAACCTTACTCTAGCAACTTAGAAGATATAAATTAATATAGAATATAGAGTTGCACATGTCACTAGTAAAGAAGACAACCTCAGTGTGATTAAGTTTTCCAAAACAATCTTCTATTCCTTGCTCACACTGAAACTTCTCAATTTCAGTTAATAAGCATGTCCAGTCCCCAGAAGGTGGAGCTAGTTGGTAAATCTGAGAGGGATTGCATTGTTTCTTGAAATAAAAAGAATGTTCGTGAATGGACAAGTATATTCTCATGCTTATGCTTTACTTATAATCAAAATAAGAGGTTTGTCAGAGACTGAGATCTTAGAAAAGCCAAGTCTTGGAAGAAAAAAAAAAGGTGCTTAATCTTTGCTCTGTTAAAATTGCACTGTGTCACTTGCTACGCAGGATGTCCTGCTGCAAATACTCCAGCAAGAGTATGAACGAGGATCATTCATTAACAATGAACAACAATTCAAAAATACAGCAGTAACACCTACTTATATGTAAGTACTGCAGCTTGTAAGTTGTTCCTTGAAATTGAGAAGCACTGTGAAACTGAAGTTTGTGAAACAAGCAAACAAATAAAAACCGTATTTTGAAGCTTCCAAATAAATTCAGTAGCTTTTGAAGAAAAAGACTGCTTTGTACGCAAGGCACAAATTTAAAATACTGATGCAATTCATAAATAGATATTATTTGTAAAGGAGTTCTGAAGGAGTTATCTTAGAGCGACTGTAGAATCACTTTGTATACATTTTAGAATATAATATCTTTCAGAATACCTTTGTAGAATCACTTCAGGAAAGGAATAATACAAATCATTGCTTTTAACACATTCAGGGATTCACATACATTGACTCTTCAGATCTCAACTTTCTTTTAAATGAAAATCGCAATATTTGTATCCACAGCACAGTGGAAAATCCTTTGAAAAAGGCTGAAGAATTAACTGAATGAGTAAACATCTGAAAAAAAGACATTAGGAGCAAGAACAGAAGCAACAAGGAGACTCTGGGATGACTGTCAGGTTGCTAAAATGACATGGGCAGCCTGTCAGTTTGGAACACTTAGCATCCAGAAGAACTGTCAGAGCCTCCTGACGAAGCAGAGAAACTCAGTACAAAAATTGTGCTAGTCAGCCACTGGAAAGTAAAACAAGGCATAAAAACGAAACCTATTAAAATAAAGAGCGGAAGGATGAAATTAAGAAAATAGTGCCACCTCTATGCAGTTAGAATGAGATTAAAACAAAAGCGCATGTTTGGCAAAGCTGAGTAAATATTCCATGTCCATTGCCAAGAGAGTGGTGGCAGTTCAGTCTGTGACAGGATTTGCCCTTTGGTTACTGGAAAATGCCCTTCAGTCCCATGTTCCCGTAATCAAAAGGCCTGCACAGGCAAATGACCTGCTTAGCACCCAGCTAGTCAGCTCTGCATGCTCATATCCGAGTTGCAATATGTCAAACCACATGTGAAATTTGATAAATTTTGGCAGAAAAGCAAGCTCCTGCTCTTTTCAAAGCCAGGCCCACTGAAATGCTTAGTAAAATATGCTCGTAACCAAAAAAGGAAAAGCACTGATGCTTTTAGGAGCATAGCACTCCTATCTCCTTTTGCCCTAGCAACAGATAAAAAAGCCAATTTTGTCGTTGCTGTTTGTGCCACCTAAAATCCATGAATGGCTTTAAGTCACTTAAAACCTAAATGGTGTGAAGTTAAAAACAAAACCTTAAATAAAAA